TATTAAGTACCGTCAGGACATAAAGAATTAAAGTAATAAAACGTTTCACGTATTTCAAAGTCGAAAGAAGTCGCAAATTGATTGTTTATGTGTTACGAGTTTATAAATAGATATACAAATTAAGTGAACAAATGGTATACAGAATATCAGTTCTAAATAATTATCAGTATATTTCGACGATAAAGAGAAGACAGAGTGTCCACATTTCACTGATAACATCTCATTTGTCGGAGTTACTTAGCACCCTTCACCCTCGCAACCCTTCTTTTTCATCGAGCCTAATGAATACGATTACGAAGCTCGCTAAACCAACGACAAGGGAAAACACAGGGAAAAGCTTCAGTTCAGTTAATTGAGAAATACTGTTTAAACGAGCTAAGCCGCTGCCGGAACCACCGAATTCAAATGGATGGTTTCCGGTGCCGGAGTCGTTAAGCGTTATCTCGTTGTGTTAACTACCCCTAGGAACGATCTTATCGTCTCACGATGCCTACAGAAATTTTTCAACTCGACATTAGTTTACGGTGAGTAATCGCAGTCTAATGATAGAAAATCTAGGTAATAACTACCTATTTCTAATTTTGCTTGTAATTGCTGCATTTTATTTGTAACCTCTTTCACGTTATAAAAGATTAAAAGAATTCGCAAAAGAAATATTTCAATATGAAAAGATAATTAAAGAGAAATGCATCTGCCATAGGTTTTTGTTAAGTGTATAGGAATACCTTTTCCTCTTTATTTTTAATACTAATATTATATTAACATATTAGTAATAAATGTTATATTAAATAGTATTTTTAATGATTTTCTTATCTACTAGCACTATTTCTCTTAGTCTGACCTTTTTCCTTCATTCGCAATGTCCGCGGGTAACTGAACTTTGCAAACCGCTTCGCAGTCACGCTTTGCAATAGAAATTTGTAGCAGTATGCTGAGATGTTTGAGAGGGGACGCAGAGTATAATATGAGTCGTGGCTCCGCGAAACGTGGTTAGAGAGGAGGATAAGCCTAAACACTCGTAATAGCTTCGACGAGCAAAGGTTCTCGCGAATCGCAAATATTTGGCAATTAGCAATTTACATTGCTCCGGTCTGGTGTATTATCGTCTCGGCAAACACGCAAACAACCGAGTGCTCACGTGCCGTACGAGAAGGAGAACGTTGACAGTTGTTTGCGTTGGTGACGCGTAAATAACTTTAAACGAATCCGCTAGTTGACCGTTATGATTTGTTCGACGGACACAATTGTTTGCCGAATCGTTTTCACACGAACAGTGCTGGACATTTTCGTCTGGTTTCGAGCGATACATTGGAGTTATGTAAGGCCGAATTCCAAAAATTTACCTGCCATTTCCGTGGTCGGCACGCGCACGAAACAAAAGGCGTGCCTATTCGCAATTTAAATTAAGTTATCGTTAGCACGGCAACACGGCGAATTTACAAACAAAAAATTCAACATTTTCCTTGTCGGTGGGATTTTCCGTTGTATATTCGCACTTTCGTTTTTCGACGGTTTCGTGTATTTGTTGTGGAACATTTTTCGATAGCACCGGTGTTAAATATGAACGATAAATTGAAAGTGACCACGATTGAAAAATTGATTAACGCTGAACAATAGGTGAAACTCGTGGTTTTTTTGTTAATAAAAGAAGGAAAAGTATAAAGCTAAATAAATAATTATATTTAGAATACACATTCATCGATGTAATACCACTTCCCGAAATTTTTCTAAATTCTCTACTGATACAGAAGCAAATCATTCAGACACCTACTTTAAAACAGTCAGAGTTCAAATATATCTAAAAGAAACTGAAACACAAGAGTATTTGTTTCAAGTACTGCTTAATACTTCCTCACCTGACATGCAGATCGATTTTCCAAGAATCTCTCAACAATAGTCGCTTCATGTTCGAATTGCGCGGTATTCAAGGAGAAAGCTTGACTAAAGTTTCAAGTCACAGTAAAGGAAGTTGTGAACGAACGAGACGATCATGAAAATATCGTTGTCGCGGCTGGCAGCCAGCAAATCGTGAATGAAAGAAGGAAATAAAAGCCGAAGCGGGCCGTCCCGCTTTGTCTTTCATTCGCACGTAAAATTAATTTCACAGTCTTACGGTCAGGCAGCGCGCGGCTCAATGAACAGCGGTTCTCAACCGCCCGCGCCTCGTGAAAGTACGCGGCCGCCGCGGTGAAGCTCGACAACAACCGCGAAGATCGCCGAGGCGGACATTTTTATTGGGCGTCGGAAATAGTGGCACCCGTTCGGACTTGCCATAACGACAGAGGGAAAAGCCGCGGCTATATCAACTGTTCGAACGAGCAGCAGGTGCAGGCATCATCTTCCATGCACGCTGAGCGACACGATTTTTATTGCGGCAATAAAATCAGAATAACGCGCACGACGAACGCGACCGCCTCGCTGACGAGTCGGAAAAACGAACCTTCGTATTTTGCGAGCGAGTATAAACTTTCAAACCGGCCCCGCCTCTCACTCCCCCTGGGGAGCGCCGCAATCTCCGGTTCGCGCGAACTATCTGCGTCGATCTAACGAACTGACGCGGGTGTTCCACCGCAAGCTCGGCTGCATATAACGGCCCATATGGGATGTGTTAACTCTAATTTTATCATCGGACCTATTTCTATTTACGGAATCCTGACCTCCGCGTTTTTTCCTTGGATAAAGCGTAACACTCATCCCATTGAATATCGATCCGTTGTAGTTTGAAACTTGTAGAAATGTTATCTATTTTTACGTTTCCCCAAACAATCTTCAAAGAGCATCGACTCGAATCAAAATTATTTCCTCGAATGCAACCTTTTGCAAGTGAGAAATAAATTACTCGACGCAATGTTTTTGTAACATATTTTACAGTGTCACATTGGAACCGTACAGATGTATCTAATTGAAAGTAACAATCTCTCTCGCAAAATCAAGCAATACCACTGCAGGTTGCTGGAATCTTGAAAAGACGCGAATCGGTTTCCGCTTACGATACGCTTTTCCACGCTCTCCGAGGTCGGCGCTCATCGTTCACCGTAATCTACCAGCCTCAAAGGGCATCCGCCTCATTAAGTCGACGCAACAATGGCGCGATTAAATCGCGTGCGCCCGCACGCGGCGCCCGGTATGCGTCCCTAAGTTTCCACGCGACGATCCCGACGACCGTTCGGTTTAAGTCCCATATTAAAGGGGTCCACGCGGATTCGCCATTTCACCTGAAAGATAAAGCGAGAGATCAGGTTTTTGCATTCATTCATGGACTCTCGCGGCCGTAGGGCGAGTCGGATAGAGACGGCGTCGGCTCGGGTCGCGCTGTCGGCGTGTAAACACACAAGTGCAAGCGAGAAAAAAGAGAGAGGGAGAGCCTGTGTCTGGTCTCCCGACGCCGGGAACCCCTTTCATTCGACGTCAACCCCTCCTGATACCGTATAAAATATAGTATTGTTCGCGCTCTGTTAGTCTAGAGTGGAGAACGAGTATATTTAGGAAAGGGCGGCTTTCTTTCATATGTTAAGCAGATCAGTGTCGGACGACGAGATAGAGAGCGAAAAAGGAGTGGTTCAGAGAGTACCGTAGCGAGTACGGTTGTACTAGCGCACGGGCCATCTCCCTTCGATTTCACCCCCTTTCTTACTCACTGTCTCTCTCTCTCTCTCTTTCTCTCCTTTCCCGTGCTACCGGAAAAACTCTCCACGCCTCGCGCACCTAAATGATTGCCGGCTTGACTTAATGTTGTGAAAAATAGCCGCGTGTTACTCTTCGCGCACCCGGCCACCGCATTCAACCGATATTTTTCTTTATAAAGGGCGGAGAGTAAGGAGATGAGTCTAATTTTTCAGAATTGTATAATTCGAAGCTTTACACGCGGACTCCGGGCGGTGATTCTGACGATTTATATTCGCTACCGAGACAGTTGAATATCCGCTTAGGTAATTTCAGGGAGATTTTTATGGTTGTTTGACTTTAAGTACATGTTTGTTTAAGAGAATTTGGAAATTAGAGTTAGGTGAACTTTAAGGTTGATTGGAACATGAAAATCCTTCGGCGCGCCCGCATTAATGCATTATAAAGTTCTCATTAAAATTTCGTCGTGACACTTATTTGCAACATGGTGGCAACGAACTTGCGAGTTTTTAATGGTGCGCTAGATAGCTGGAAGTTCGGAAGAAAGATCATTCTTCCGAGTGACGGGTGGATTTTCAAGCGCTACGTTGTCAGGTTAAAAGGGAACATCTGGTAACGAGATCCTTGATGCTTCGCGGAACACCTACTTACGTGGGTATGTTCTTGTAAGTTTCTGAACTTTCTTTGGGCTGATTGAAAAAACTTTATATAATAATATTATATATTATAGTAAAAATGTTATACCTATAGCAAACAAGTACCATAAAACTGAAAAAGCAATTTCTATAATTGTAATGCAGTATTCGACACAAATCAAATTATATTGCAATATAAATTAGTAAATCATTATATTACAATCCATTAAATCTCACGGTAGTAATAATTACAATTAATATTTCAGGATCTCCAGCTCACCTTTTACTATCCGAAAGCACGAAAGTCCCGTTTCAACCCGCACAGCTTCCACGCAGTGTTTCCGTCAATTCTCGTTCATTTGCTACGTCCCGATTCAACGTAGCCCGTAACCTCCCCATCCCCCAATAAAAGCATCCACCGATCGATAATAGGAGAGACATCGGCCACGACGTTACGTGCCGCGCAATTCTAACGAGTTTCGTCCCGTTACATAAGTCGCCGATCGACTTTGTCCAGCGCGCTCTTTATCCTTCTCTGCACCCTATCTCAGAAGGGTAGGTAAACAGAAGGACAGGGACGCGGGGATGCGGCGAGCGTTATTATAAAAGTCATAATGAAAATCTAACGATACGTCAGCCGGCATACGGAATGGCTCGTAGAAATGAATTTCCTCCGAGGCGGTGGGATCCGCGCTGTCCATCGACTCGGCGTTTAATCTTCTTGTTTACTTTTGCTTTCAGAACACGTGAGGGAGTTCAGCTGCGGGATGCTGTACTACAGGACACTGTACCTGGACAGCAAGAGGGACGCCCTTTACGTTGGCGCGATGTAAGTACTTTTACTTTTCGTGTTAGCCCGGCCTCTGTCCCCTCGCTCTCGAATCCCTGATCCGTTTTTGTCACGTAATAAAATGCCGCCGGATGAAAATCCCCGCGGGTAAAAGTTGCGCGCTCCGTCAAAGCGGTGAGGATACCAGGACAGGGCAGCGTCATCGCCGCATACGTGTACGTTACCTGTGTACGTGCCGCGGAACAGATTTTTCTGATTCCCGTGATTAAAATTCTGTGCGGCGTGCACGCCGCCCGCCCGGAGCGTGCCGATTGATTAAATTTCTCGGTGACATCGAATATCGGATAATCCGTGTTTTGAAATACCCTCTGTATTACAGCCACGGACAGTCGCCAGTGCGCAATGGTTTTCACGGGTGATAATTATCGGCGGAATGAACCGCCGTGCCTGTGATCGCGGCGGATCAGTTTCCTGGATTTCTTATGGTGACGCTCGTTTCGTATCTGCATCGTTTTCGTTAACCCTTCGACGATATGGACATTTCATGGTTAAACTCAAATTGCTTGGAAATGACTACAACAGGAAATCTAATGCTAAGTTGAACTATTTAGTTACATTTGCAATAAGATGATAGTACGATTTAAAAGCTTTGATACTAGATCATTAATAAGAGATTCTAATACCATCTGCCTTTTTTTACGAGAGAATAAGTGATGTTACGAAACGGTCGAAATTCTCGTGGCTGTTAACATATTAACGTGACACCAGTGGGTACCATCGATGGCTCACACTTAAATGTCACAATCAAAGAAATGAGATTCTCGGAAGGCACTTAATGGCTTGCGTTACTGACTGAGGACTCATTCCTTACGCATATACTGGAGTAAAGGAACCTTTAATCAGAACAATCGGGAATTCGTTCACATAATGAAAAATAAAAATACACAATTTTGCTATTTTCAATTTTGTTCTAGATTTAGCGGTGTACGCTTGTCAAGTACGTATTATGTGTTCTTGTCTTTAATTTTGTTATCGTGATCGATTAATTCAACTTTTATCGGATTGCTGATCAGCCTTTCCTTTATTCCTTACGCTAACTCATCTGCATGAGCTCGGCGAGCGTGTTTATGCTCCTTTTCGTAATCGGCCCCCTCCGCGGTATTTGCACGCACTCTTAGCTCGACTACTGAAATATATGTATACGGCCTTTATGTACCTGATCGTTCCCCCGTGAACGAGGGGATGACCAGGTTTCGTTTGCTAAGCGTTTCAATTCGCAGAAAGGTAATTTACTAAAACCTTCGGGGCACGGGGTCGGTGTTCGAGGCGAAGCAGGCGAAACAAGTGCCGCGAATAAAACCTAACCGAACTTTTAAGAACATCGTGCTCGATTAATCTTCGCGATCAAGCAAATGGCAAAGGCATCTTGTGTGAGGCAACTTCCTTGAACGATGTGATCGATGAATTTGCATTACTCAGATAATTTTAATATTGAGCCTCTAAAATTATTTTCTAGATACTTGAGTATTGAAATTATTGATGTTGTGACAATAAACAGGAATACTGACAGTTTCCAGTGGTCTTACCTAACTAAAATGAAAGCAATAAAAGTACAAATTCAAATATATTTTCTTAACAAATCAATATTTCATACTTAAAAAATAATAGCTATGATTGACGAATTACGAAATGAACTGTGAAAAAAAACGTTTCACTTTTCAGTTCGTTTTACATATTTGATTCTTCTCGAATCCCCCGTAATGTACATACCCAAGGAACGTATACAATCATCTCAATCTGGCAATTTAATCTCTTACGTCCGCTCGGTGTTCTCCTTCTTCACATAATCAGCCTAAAAATCTCTTACCGTTACTCTTAATAAAATCCTCTTGAATCGTTACTTCTTCAAAACGAAGAGCAAAAGGGGAGTTGGTGGTTCATGGGTCGGGCAGAGATTCTGAAGGGCGGGCTCTAGGCATCATTACTACAGAAGTATTATTTCTTGATTCGGTTCCAACCTTTCCCTTGCCCCGCGTCACTATCCCGCCAGGCCATTCACTAGCGTTTTCCTTTGTGATGCTCCCTTCTTAATTTGGTAAATGCCAGCAAAATGCTATGTGGTTCTAGCAACGGAGAGGCAGCTAGGGCAACGTCTGAAAGCCAGTGGATACACAAGCCGGATGACTCTTATACGATGTAGTAACAACGGCTGCCTGATATATCTATTGTGACAGGAGAAATTATGTCAGTTGTATTGTCTTTGATGATGAGTATATCGTCAGAACGTATCCTCAAACAATAAATATTTGACAATCACGAATTCTATATTAGCTAACATTGTAAATCAATGAAGTAGTTGATGTTTAGGTAAATATAGAATTTCTACAGCAGTTTGATTTGTATTTGCAATTTTCATATGAATTACAATATCTTTATGAATTTAATGATTAACGTATTAATGGTTCAAAAGCTTTTGTCCACATTATTATCGAATCTTCCGCTTGTAGTTATGGAAATTAATTTCTACGCTTGTCAGTTTATCAATTTCAAAACAGTCTGCGAATGAAATTGCTGTGAAATGTATAATTTGACGATGGAAAGTCGCTAAATACGTCAAACATTGACAGCTTTGTTAGAAATTGTCAAATCGGTGTAATGAATCCTTCGATAATTAGGATCGTTTCATGTGCATTGTGTTGCGCTTCGCTCGGGTTACAGTCGTAATCATCGGGATCGAATGAATGACGCTAGCAAGAACAATTCATTTCATTTATATTTGTTGGGTTTATCGGTGGCCGCAGTTTCCATTTGCCAAATAGTAACCAGGGCAATGAAGGTTTAATCGCGGCGGCTTTCAATAATATAGTATTATGCTAATCTAAAAGGTAATTCCGATATAGCCGATGGATATTGAATTTCAAAGCGTTCGGCTAAACAAACTGTTAAATTTAGTCGCTCGATAAATTTACTTTCACGCTGCATTGATCTCGCTACGCCGGCGGACCGTGAGGCTTGCAATATCGAAATTTTCTGCTTCAAGTATTCGCGGCAAATTAGGAATGCCATTTTCCTCTAATTATGCCTTTGTCCGTATAAATTCGCAGACAAAATACTTTTCGTTTCATTCCATATACGTTATCGTACACAAATTTTCAGGTATTTCGATTCTGTTATTATATTGGAGACCAATTACGCTTTAAAATAAAACAAGTTACTTTACGCACTCATTTATTTCCATTCTTATTTCTGTTCATAAAAGCAGAAACCTTCTGTTTCAGTAAAAAACACTTACTCCTTTACACAAACCATGATTGCACATAAAACGTTGATTATACGAGAGAAAAAATTTAATTACGCGTTTCCTGGAGGCAATTTTAATCATTTGCACGTACATTTCGCGTACACGTATGCGTATTCGAATTCGAGAAACCAAATAGAAACTTATTACATAGCTCCATAAATGGTTTCCGTAAAGAAGAAAATAAAACCTTACTGTACTAGAGTTTTTAATTTAATCGATACAGTCAATTGTACCCATAATAAACGTCCGCAACAAGTAGCTTAAATATTACATTTCCGAAATGATGAACAGAAAAAAGCAGCACGGCAATCTGTTCCAGGCGCATTGCTCTCCTCGCGAAGCATTTAACAATAAAAGAAATACACTTTGGCATTAGTTACCCTCCGCACAATTCTGTATCCACAATTAAAATCCCGCATCAATTCGCTCGCGGGCGGATTAAAGAGGAGATCAAAGCGATCGTGGGAATCGAGCAAAGAGCAGCAATTGTTTGGTGCGTTATGCACGGACGTCGTGCCCCTCCCCGCGCCCGCCTTTTGAAAAATGCAACAGATAGAAACTCGAACGGCAACCTCTCGGCGTTTCCTTTGGGGTGCGCAGGATCGAGGCCCTCGAGCCTCGCGCGCCGCTAACGCGCAGCATTTTATTTCAGCCTTTAATTAAATTACACCCGGCCACCCTCTCGTCTCTGAAATTGAGAGTCACATCATTGAGCCGCGTTCGCTCGAAGATCATAGAGCTTAATCGTTTCACATCATCGGAAAAGGAATGTCGGGATCGTTTTCCTTTTGCGCGGAATTCTTATCGGAATCCGATATTACGGGGGTAGGTTGAAGGGGGTGGCGAGAGGTGGTTGACTGTACGCGGACGGGTATGGAGAAACGAGCGCCGCGGAACGAGGCCATAGAACGAAGCCAGAAAACAGGAAATGTTAAAATTGAACCACCCTCACCCGTCGGAAAATGCAGTTTAACTGGAAGTCGTCTCCACCAGCCTTATCCTCCTCACTTGCTTTCCATATGGTGGGCTTATTTCATTACAGAAACGAACGAAGCCGCTCTAAAAGCAGAAGCATCTTACGCAATTGTCATTTCTTACCCCGCTGTCACCCTTATCCGATTTATATTCCCCGGTAATCTCGTTTCATCCCTCTCCCCCTGCTTCACTGCCTGTCGCGAGAATATGCGCGTTGAAATTCATTGTCACGTGGAATTCAACCATTCTCGTTGCCTCCTTGCGATTTTCCCCGCGCTTATTTTGCTTAACCTCGTTACAATGTCGGGTCAGCCTCACGGAGAAATCTGCAAATTGAATTTTCTAGTATTTAATTGCGTTCGGCACTATTTCTAGTTACATTGAATGATTACTGTTTCTTTTGCGGTGTTATTTTGAGACTGTTTTGGGGAGTATTAAAAAGACTGTAAATAATTTCGTGTTTGCAATGAATATTACAGCACGTTCAATTATTTTGTAGACAATGTAGAATATTTCAATTGGAAGTACCTTCGTGCTTGTCGATTGTCGGTTATCAGACCCTTCATGCGTCAAAGCTTGCGGAAATTCGACAAACATTTCAATTCATGTAGTTTTCCGACTCCGTCGGTATTTTTTCGTTCCCTCCCTTTGCAAACTTCTAATTGGATATTTCCTGTTTTGTACTTGACGCGCGTCACGTTGGAAACAATTTACAGTTGCCCGAGATGAATATCGACGGCGTTAACTAGCTTCGTCGGATTAC